AAAGAAGATAACTATACAAACATAATTCTACCTCTAATAACAAAAATAACAGGAAGCCACAATCATTTTTGCTTAATATCTCTTAACATCAATGGTCTCAATTCCCCAATAAAAAGACACAGACTATCAGAATGGATACACAAACAAGACCCAGAATTTTGCTGCATACAAGAAATGCACCTCAGTGACAAGACAGACACTACCTCAGAATAAAAGGGTGGAAAACAATTTTCCAAGCCAATGGTCCCAAGAAACAAGCTGGAGTAGCCATTCTAATATAAAATAAAATCAACTTTCATCCAAAATTAATCAAAAAAGATAAGGAAGAACACTTCATACTCATCAAAGGAAAAATCTACCAAGGTGAACTCTCAATTCTGAACATCTATGCTCCAAATGCAAGGGCACCTACGTACATAAAAGATACTTTACTAAAGCTCAAAACACACATTACACCTCACACAATAATAGTGGGGGATTTGAACACCCCACTCTCAGCAATGGACAGATCATGGAAACAGAAACTAAACCGAAACACTTTGACATTAACAGAAGTTATGAACCAAATGGACTTAACAGACATCTATAGAACATTTCATCCTAAAACAAAAGAATATACCTTTTTCTCAGCACCTCATAGTACCTTCTCCAAAATAGACCATATAATTGGTAACAAAACAGGCCTCTACAGATACAAAAAGATTTAAATAATCCCTCGCATATTATCAGATCACCACGGACTAAGACTGGTCTTTAATAATGACAAAACCAATGGAAAACCCACGTACACATGGAAACTGAACAACCCTCTACTCAATGATGACTTGGTCAAGGAAGAAATAAAGAAAGAAATTAAAGACTTTTTAGAATTCAATGAAAATGAGGACACATCATACCAAAACTTGTGGGACTCCATGAAGGCAGTGCTAAGAGGAAAACTCATAGCTCTAAGTGCCTACAAAAAGAAACTGGAAAGAGCACACACTAACAACTTGACTGCACAACTAAAAGCTCTAGAACAAAAAGAAGCAAATAGACCCAGGAGGAGTAGAAGGCAGAAAATAATCAAACTCAGGGCTGAAATCAACCAAATAGAAACAGAAAGAACAATACAAAATATCAATAAAACCAGGAGCTGGTTCTTTGAGAAAATCAACAAGATAGATAAACCGTTAGCCAGATTAACCAGAGGGCACAGAGGCAGTATCCAAATTAATAAAATCAGAACTGAAAAGGGAGACATAACAACATAAACTGAAGAAATTCAAAAAATCATCAGATCCTACTACAAAGGCCTATAACTCAACAAAACTGGAAAACCTGGATGAAATGGACAACTTCCTAGACAGATACCAGGTACCAATGTTAAACCAGGAGCAGATAAACCATCTAAATAGTCCCATAACCCCTAAGGAAATAGCAGCAGTCATTAAAAGTCTCCCCACTAAAAAAAGCCAAGGACCAGATGGTTTTAGTGCTGAATTCTATCAGACCTTTAAGGAAGACCTAATACCAATTCTCTTCAAACTATTCCACAAAATAGAAACAGAAGGAACGCTACCCAATTCGTTCTATGAAGCTACAATTACACTCATACCCAAACCCCACAAAGACCCGACAAAGAAAGAGAACTTCAGACCAATCTCCTTTATGAACATCGATGCAAAAATACTCAATAAAATTCTAGCAAACTGAATCCAAGAACACATCAAAACAATCATCCATCATGATCAAGTAGGTTTTATCCCAGGAATGCAGGGATGGTTCAATATTCGGAAATCCATCAATGTAATCCACTATATAAACAAACTCAAAGAAAAAAAAACACATGATCATCTCACTAGATGTTGAGAAAGCATTTGACAAAATTCAACATCCCTTCATGATAAAAGTCTTGGAAAGATCAGGAATTCAAGGCCCCTACCTAAACATAGTAAAAGCAATTTACAGCAAACTAGTAGCCAACATCAAACTAAATGGAGAGAAACTTGAAGCAATCCCACTAAGATCAGGGACTAGACAAGGCTGCCCACTCTCCCCCTACCTATTCAATATAGTACTGGACGTCCTAGCCAGAACAATTAGACAACAAAAAGAAGTCAAAGGGATACAAATAGGAAAGGAAGAAGCCAAAATATCACTATTTGCAGATGATATGATAGTATACTTAAGTGACCCCAAAACTTCCACCAGAGAACTCCTAAACCTGATAAATAACTTCAGCAAAGTGGCTGGTTATAAAATCAACTCAAACAAATCAGTAGCCTTCCTCTACATGAAAGATAAACAGACTGAAAAAGAAATTAGGGAAATGACACCCTTCACAATAGTTGCAAATAATATAAAATACCTTGGTGTGAATCTAACCAAGCAAGTGAAAGACCTGTATGACAAGAACTTCAAGTCCCTGAAGAAAGAAATCGAAGAAGATCTCAGAAGATGGAAAGATCTCCCATGCTCATGGATTGGCAGGATTAATATAATAAAAATGGCCATCTTGCCAAAAGCAATCTACAGATTCAATGCAATCCCCATTAAAATCCCAACTCAATTCTTCACAGAGTTAGAAAAGGAAATTCTCAAATTCATATGGAATAACAAAAAACCCAGGATAGCGAAAACTATTCTCAACAATAAAAGAACTTCTGGAGGAATCACCATCCCTGACCTCAAGCTGTACTACAGAGCAATAGTGATAAAAAAAAAAACTACCTGGTATTGGTACAGAGACAGGCAGGAAGATCAATGGAATAGAATTGAAGACCCAGAAATGAACCCACACCCCTACGGTCACTTGATCTTTGACAAAGGAGCTAAAACTGTCCAGTGGAAAAAGGACAGCATTTTCAACAAATGGTGCTGTTTCAACTGGAGGACAACATGTAGAAGAATGAAAATTGATCCATTCTTATCTCCTTGTACAAAGCTCAAGTCTAAGTGGATAAAGGACCTCCACATAAAACCAGATACACTGAAACTAATAAAAGAGAAGGTGGGGAAGAGCCTCGAATACTTGGGCACAGGGGAAAAGTTCCTGAACAGATCTCCAGTGGCATATGCTCTAAGATCAAGAATTGACAAATGGGACTTCATAAAATTGCAAAGTTTCTGTAAGGCAAAGGACACTGTCAATAGGACAAAATGACAACCAACAAATTGGGAAAAGATCTTTACCAATCCTTCATCTGATAGAGAGCTAATATCCAATATATACAAAGAACTCAAGAAATTAGACTCCAGACAACCAAATTTCCCTATTAAAAAATGGGGTATAGAGCTTAACAAAGAATTTTCAACAGAAGAAACTCGAATGGCCGAGAGGCACCTAAAGAAATGTTCAGTATCCTTAGTCATCAGGGAAATGAAAATCAAAACAACCCTGAGATTCCATCTCATACCAGTCAGAATGGCTAAGATTAAAAACTCAGGTGATAGTAGATGCTGGCGAGGGTGTAGAGAAAGAGGAACACTCCTCCATTGTTGGTGGGACTGCAAGATGGTGCAACCACTTTGGAAATCAGTGTGGCGGTTCCTCAGAAAATTGGACATAGCATTACCCGAGGATCCAGCTATACCACTCCTAGGCATATACCCAGAAGATGCTCCAACATGTAACAAGGACATATGCTCCACTATGTTCATAGCAGCCTTATTTATAATAGCCAGGAGCTGGAAAGAACCCAGATGTCCTTCAACTGAGGAATGGATTCAAAAAATGTGGTATATTTACACAATGGAGTATTACTCAGCTATTAAAAACAATGAATTCGAGAAGTTCCTAGGTAAATGGATGGAACTAGAAATTATCATCCTGAGTGAGGTAAGCCAACCACAAAAGAACACACATGGTATTCACTCACTGATTATTGGATATTAGCCCAGAACCTTGAAATGCCCAAGATGCAACTCACAGGCCACATGAAGCTCATAAAGAAGGAAGACCAAGTGGGGGTGATTTGGTCCTTCTTAGAAGGAGCAACAAAATATTCAAGGGAGCAAATACGGAGACAAAGTGAGAGACAGAAACTGAAGGAGGGGCCATCTGAAGACCATTCCACCTGAGTGTCCATCCCATGTGCAGTCACCAAAGGTAGATGCTGATGTGGAAGTCAGGAAGTGTATGCTGATAAGAGCCTGATATGGATGTCTCCTCAGAGGTCTTCAAGAGTCTGACATATTCAGAGGCAGATGCTCACAAATAGCCATTGAACTGATAATGGGTTTCTCAATGGAGGAGTTAGAGTGAAGGCCATTGGAGCTGAAAGGGTTGGCGGCACCATGAGGAGAGCAACAATACCAACCAACCACAGCTCCCAGGGTCTAAACCACCAGCCTGGGAGCACTTAGGGGGGGATCCATGGCTCCAGCTGTATCCGTAAGAGCGGAGGGCCCTGCTGGGAATAGGTGGAAGAAGAGATCCTTGACCTCATGAAGGCTGGACGCCCCAGGGGGTGGGAATTTTGAGGGTGGGGAGGTGGGAGTTGGGGGGTAGGTGGGGGTTACATCCACAGAGAAGGAGGAGGAGGGGGTTCCTGGGTGGGTGAGGGATGGGGTAAGGGGACAACATATGAAATGTAAATAAAACATCCAATAAAAAAAATTAAAAAAAAAAAAAGAACAGCGATGGCACTGTGACGTGGGATGAGTACAACATCCGGATGTATGACCCAGTGATTGACTTTGATGAGGACACTGCTCTGGATGACACAGGAGTCTTTCAGGCAGGTGAGTCCGCTCTGCTCCTTTTGAGCACATCTGTCTCTTTACCCTCCTGAGTAAGCACAAGAGGGCCTGAGGTCCTAGACTGTTGCCTTGTCACTGGGCAGTCACCAGTTCCACTCCAGTGAGAGTTTCGATGGTTTCCTGTTACCCTCACATAGGACTCTTACCTCTAAACTTAAGGTATCCCTGCATTCATTTCCCTTCTAATTTGTCCACATTTCCAGAGTTGTTCTTTCAGTGCATTTTGATATTAATATATATATCTCATTATTATAGCATTGTATTTTTAAAACAATTTAATAATCAGCTTAATGTATTTATAATACAGGGGAATACAGGAGGAATAGTTACTTATATTTTTTTGGTTGTATGCTTAGCCTTTAATGGCTAAGCCATGTCTCCGACTGAGACCAGTCACTTTCGGCTACTCCTGTCGTCCTCCCATGCACGGTGTGGAGGACCAACAGGGCCTCTGGATCTGCATTCGGACTCTGAATCTGAAAACAGAAATTAATTTAGTTAAGAGACAGAGGTGAGGTTTGGACCAAGTTCTTGTCACTGTTCCCTGGAAAGATCAAAGTGACCACCAAGGTGCCTTCTTTTCTGTTATCCCCATGTTTGGGGAAAGTTTCTGCTGGTTTTGATTTTTTTCCCTGTGTCTATTCTCATGCTGGGAATAATACATCTCAGGGCATTTAACTCCTCTCTCTGGGTATAGTTCTCCTGCTTGAACAGCTGGTCATCAGCAAGCTTCATATCTGCTCCCCAGGAAAAGGAGCAACTGAGGTGGCATACTAAGTCTCCAATGCCTGTCTCCCTAGGAATATTCCTATGAAGTGCTCAGTTCTGTCTTCTCACCATTGGGCTCAAGTCTGTGTGAGCAACTTTGGAAGGGAGTCAAGTAGGGCCATAATTCATGAGGTACAAGGTGCTCTGACAGAGAGATAGTGGGTAAGTGAAGAACTATTAATAAAACACTCAGTTCTGAGGCTGGTGGCACTAGGCACACAAGGTCAGGATCAAGTTAACAGGTGAAAATATCGCAGCGTCCCCTTGGTCTGCCAGGCAGGGAGCTCAGTGCCAACATAGCCTAAGGAAACAGAAGAAAGAGGGGGCTCTGGGTAAGAGATAATCAGAGAAAGAGTGATTGCAGAATGTGGCCAAGGAAGCAGGTTTTGGGAGTTGGGCAGGACACACAACAGAGACTCAGTTCATGGACAATGTGAGATCACACTTTGTGATAAGCAAAGGCTATGATATCACCTCAAAGGCTTCTGGGAAGGCAATGGAGAAAAGAATACTTAGCTTACAAACTAGTGCCTACAGAACTGAAGAAACACCTCAGTACTCTCTCAAGTGGAACACACAGAAACTCCACGGATATCTGGGGACAATAAGAGGTCTCAGGTAGCCATGACAATACGATAGTAGAAGATAAGGGTAGGAAAGTGAGGTTTGGATATGTGTGAGTCTATGGGTCCAGAGTTTCAAACAGCTGGCGGCCAAGTGTCCATGTGTTTCAGCTCTAATAAATACCTGCCGTAGTTCCAGGAGGACCCCACAGTCCTCTTCATCTTACGTACACAAGAAAGAATATTTGAAAATCAGGCCAAACAGAACCCAAAGTCCATATCCCTCATCGCTTCACTAGATCTGAGACTCCCAAATGCACAGGCCACCCTCTAACCCCCCTTGCCTGGCACCCCTACAAGCCCCTCAAGTGTGCAGAGCACCAGCTGTAAATGAAGTGCAAGCTCTGTGCTCACCTCACAGATGCCACAGTGAGCAAAGGCTGGAGTGCTCTGCTCTTGCTCCAGGTGTGTCCTATAAAGTGGGACTACAAGGACCAAACGGAGAGAAAGAACCCTGCATGTGGTTCTACATGTATGGACAGGGAAGAATGAGCTGCTTGTCTTGTACTGGTGGTCCAGTCTGTAAGATTCATGTCTCCAGGTTTGGGCCAAGTGTCCATGAAAGAGTTCTGTCCCACCAGGCAGACTCCCTCTGTCACAGGTCAGTTGCCCAAAGTCAAACTATTATGGACACGGTTGACTAGAGCTTTATTAAGCACAACAAAGGAAACAGGAGGGAGGAGTTGTGCTGGCAAAGATCGTGTTTAAATGGCAGAGCAACCAACAGACACAGCAGAACCCACAGACAGCACTGCTGAGTGTTATGCCTTGAAAAGGAAAAGCCCCCGCTTCTCCACATGTCCCACCAAAATCTCTGCTCCCTCAGCCTCTGAAGCACAAGGGGTGACCTGGCTGCTCCTGGGTACTCTCACTGTATCCCACAGGGATGCTTTGACTTCACCTCATTCTCGTCCTGCCTCTATGGGGAAGTTTTATCCCAATGTCTTAGAACTGCTGTATTGGAAAAAAGAACAGAGACTGGCTCGCTCATCCCTGCCTGTGCCAGGTGAAGTCATCCTGGTTCCCACAAGATCAACTTCAGTTTTCCTCTGTCTTGGAAGTTTCAAAATACCAATGTCGAGCAATTAAAAGACAGTCTATAGCTCAGCAGTTTCGGCCTCTATTCAGCTCTTCAGGTATTTCACAAACACCTATAATCTCAGCTCCTGTGGCTCCATCACCCAGTTCTGACCTCTCAGGCACCACACATATCTGATGTGCACTCACACAGATGTGCACACACACACATCTTACAAAACAGTGGCAACATCTAAAATGTACTCAAGTATTTCTCACGTCACGTTGAGTGTTCAACTTTGGTGTTCCTATGATGAGTTGGGGTTTTGATCACTCTTGCTAAAGTTGCCACCCTTGAGCTCCTGGCTTCCTTCACAGAGGTCAAACTCATGGAACTTCTGAAGCTGCTGATGACTGGCATTATAAACTGCTGCCTATCGTGTACATCAACATGAAATTTTAGGGATGAACTCAAATCCTCACAAGCACCTGACTAGCTGAGCTGTCTTCCTGATGCTAAAAGGGACATCGGAGGCTTGGTAACCCCTGACCTTACATAAAGACTGGAGTTCCTACATCTGCTGTCTATGCCATCAAACATACAAAATTAGTTTTAAGACTTCACAGATATTTTTTGCACGTTTATTGTTTCTCCCTGGTTTCAAAATAGATTCTATACATGACACTCCACAAAAGAAAACATACAGAAATAACTAAATTTCTTATAAATGCAAGTATAGGGAGACAGGAAAGCAAACTGACTTTACTTCGATGAAAATAAACTACTTAAAAAATTTGGGCAGATGACACAGGCATTATTACTGTCTCCATGGGTTACACTAGCTCCTTTTGTGAGAGGATGATAAAGAACAGAGTATTAACTGAGAAACTGAATTCGTGTGTTTATACTTAGACAACACAGTATGTGATATGAAGTGGTCACTCTCTCAGAGCACCTAAACTCAGTACTCTGACCAGATGATACCTCTGCAGCACTGCTTCTGTGCATCTCAAAACCTATTTGAGCTGACTTTCTTGACTCCCTTTGCTAACCTGAAAGAAGGCATAACCTCACCACTCCTGGATCCTTTCCTATTAAATCCAGTCAAGAACGCGCTACTTACTATATGTTGATTCTAAGCTTTCCATGCTTCTGTTACACAAGTCATCCCCTGTGTCATTCTTCTGATAAGAACTATCTGTAATAAACTCAGTACAGAAAATAACTTACACTCAACGTATAGTCTCTAGTAGATGAAGCCACACTGCTTCGTGAAAGGACAACCTCAGCTATCCTTTGATTCATGTCATTCAATGAGAGTTACAATACATTTTTCTTTTAAATCCTGTTTATAAAGTTCTCCTGATGTCTAGGTAATAAACATTTCACAAATATTGCAAGATATTATATCATATTCTTAATCTATAAGATGCTCAATAACCTATGACTATTCTAAAAGACTCAAAGTAATTATAGAAATTATTTTGGATGAGGAAAAATACTGAAACAAGTGTTATAGTTAAACGACAGATTCCTATCACTTCTTCAGACTATTTTCAAACTAGGAAAATAGACACTATTTCTAAAACTCAGTCAAACTGTGTGTGTGTATATATATATGTGTGTGTGTGTGTGTGTGTGTGTCTTCTATTTACTAATCACATATGACTATTTTTAATTGCTTAATATTATCAATATATTTATTACTGTACATGTACATGAAATGTGTGTTAGAGTATATGTCATGCCACATGTGTAGGGGTCTCAAGACAACTTGGAGGAGATGGTTCTCTCCTTTCACCTCTATGTAGGTTCCAGGAATTAAGTTCAGGTCGTCAGGTCACAGTTATAAAAGGCAAGCACATTTACCAATGGAGCTACCTCACCACCAAACAGACAATTTCAATCTTGATAGAGTAACATGGTTCTAGAAAAGGGAGTGTACTATGAAGCACATGATGTAAGGATGCTGACGCATTCTCTCTTTGTTGTACAGTAATAGCTTCTTGGATGGAGACAGAGTATTGTATTTACAAAAAGAACCACTACACAGCATTTATTTCTTCTGGATTTCCTTTACGATGGCACCAGTTGTATTCACTGTGTAAAGCATCAGTCCAGGTTCAGACCAGCAAACTGACATTAGTGTTGGGGAGAGTGCTGATATGGCCTCGCACTGAACACTGGGGTTTGATAGCACAGTTCCACATGAGAACTCACACAAGAGTGAGGCATCATGTGAGTACTAGAGTGCACCATGCCTGCCTGAACACTGTCATGCTCCTTCCTGTCTTGATGATAATGGACTGACCTCTGAACCTGTAAGCCAGCCCAAATGAATTGTTGTTTTTATAAGAGTTGCCATGGCCATGGTCCCTGTTCACAGAAGTAAAACCCAAAGTAAGACATTGTTCATTGTATCTGACCAGGAACACCAGTACCTACCAGTATCCAACGTAAAAGAGTGAACACTTGTCTCCTTACACAAGTTGTTCACAACATCATCATTATCTGAATCATCAGTATCTGGAAGAAAGTCAGGGAAGAGTTGGATGTGACCAGGAATACCATTACCATACCACCACCAAGGTCATCGATTTAGAGGCTGTTCTTCCTACCAAAGTAATTTTCAGTCTTTTCTTCAAACGTATTAACACCTGGAAAAAAATCAATGCAGACAGTGAGTGACTCATAACGTGGTAACTTGTGGCTACTAATAGAACCACAGAGGTACAACTTACCTGCATGAGTTACAGATATTAAGCAGTGTGTGTCTTAGACTATGGGGTTTATAGAGTGTTTTGATTGTATGACCCGATTCTTTCTTCTAAGCAAAACAAGGTATATGACTTCTTTTACATTTAAAAGGAGCTTATAGTTAAAAGACTCATGAACTTTTAAATGGTTGGAATTGTTTGAAGAACTTGGGGCTTTTATACATTATGATATTAATGTGAGATCTTCGGGACAAACAATAAAGAAAAGACTATGATTTGAATTTCACAGTAGTGAAATGTGTTTGAGTGTCAAGTTATAAGTGGTGTCTTTTTTTTAAAGATTTATTTTTTTTTATGTATTTGAGTTTTGTAGCTGTCTTCAGACACACCAGAAGAGGACATCGGATCCCATTACAGGTGGTTGTGAGCTACCATGTGGTTGCTGGGAATTGAACTCAGGACCTCTGGAAGAGCAGTCAGTGCTCTTAACCATTGAGCCATCTCTCCAGCCCCCTATAAGTGGTGTCTTGTGTTGGTTAAACTTCATTGTCAGCTTCACATACCTGGAGAGAAGGGGCCTAAATTGGAGAATTGTCTCCATCAGACTGGCCCGTAGAAATTTGTGAGGGTCATTGCCTTGATTGCTAATTGATATAGGAGGGCCTAGGCAAGTGTGAGTGTGGATATTCTTACACAGCATGAACTTGGACGTGTATTAAAGGTAGCTTAGCAAGCCAGAGAGATCAAGTCACTAAGGAGTGTTCTTCCATGATCTCTGTTTACCTTCCTGTCTCTAGGTTCCTGCCTTAACTTCTCTCCATGGTGGCCTATAACTAAAATAAAATGAAATAAATCTTTTCTTCCCCAAGTTTCCCTTGTTATTGTATTTCTCAGAGCAACAGAAAGCAAACTAGAACAGTGGTACCTTCGACAAAGGGCAGAACACAGATAATACCTAAGGAAAACATAAAACACAGGAAAGGAATGTCTTCAACAACCTAGATGGCAACAACTTACATTAAACTGATTGTGACCAAATGACACAGTCATTTCTTTGTTCTTGGAGTATAGTATCTTCCTTTGCAGAAGGGAGAAAATAAGAAACTGAGTCCTTGTCTTTCTACCTACAGTCAAGATCATGTGGCATGAGATGATCAATTTACACAAGGCCTTAAACTATGCTGTGATCCAGGTTGCAATGTTCTGCATAGCCTCAACTGTTCAAACACATGGTCCTCAGCTGGCAGTGCTTCTTGACAAGGGTTGCCTCCAGCATAGGTAGATCTTCCCTGGAGAGAGTGACTCACTGAGGAAAGTTTAGGCTATGGAGCCCAGCTTCATTTCTGTTAACTCATTGCCTCTTGAGTGTGGATACAATGTGACCAACTGGCCCCTAAACTGGCTAAGGTACCTTCCCTGCCAGCTGCCATGTCTTCTCCACCATGGTGGAATCATCTCTTTAAGTATCAGCCACGATATACCCTTTCTCAACTAAAGTCCTTCCAGTCAAGAATTTGGTCATAACAATGAGAAGAACAACTAAATATAATGATTCAATAATAGAGTTTCATCATTGCTTCTTAGCCGGTTAGAAGACCCTTCAAACTAACAGTCTTTCGTAGATACCCAAAAAAAGGAATAACCCAGATGATCCTAGACCCTCCCATTGGATCTGACCAGGAACGCCATTACCTACCAATGTTGGATTCAAAACTGTTCGGGCTGGTGCCACCCACCAAGTCATCCTCTGTGATGCCTTCATATATCTCATATATTTCTGGAAGAAAATCAGTGAAGAACTGGATCTTACCAGCAGTGACATACCACTACCAAGACCATCTCTTTGAAGGCTGTTCTCCTTACCCAATGAACTCACAACGTTGTCATCATCTGCAAGATCATTATCTGGAAGAAAGTCAGGGAAGAGTTGAATGTGACCAGGAATACCATTACCATACCACCACCAAGGTCATCGCTTTAGAGGCTGTTCTTCCTACCGAAGTCTTTCTTAGGCTTTTCTTCAAATGTATCAATAAATGTATCAATATCTGGAAGAAAATCAATGGAGACAGTGAGTGACTCATACCGTGGTGACTATAGTAGGTGAAGCTACCCTGCCTCACATGAGAACAAGTTCAACTTCCTTTGTGTCACATCTTTTACTGAGAACCACAATAGACATTTTACTAATGAAATAGTGTAACACCTCACATGTTAAAAATACTGCAAAACATCTTAATCCTTTTGACATAGAGATACAATCTCACTTATGGCTCCTATTATTAACAGTAAACTAGGAACTTGAGAGATGGCCCTGTAGGTAACAGCACAGCTCTTCCAGAGGACTAGGGTTTGATTCCCAGCACCCACATGGTATTGAAGTTTCATTTTTTTCTATGTATTATTCTGCTAAATACTGGCCTCCAAGGCCTAGTTTCACCAAGGACAAGAGAATCTGTACATAGACCCAAGTGACACTATGCAACCTTGCCCTCCAAGTTACCCCTGGTTGGTGAGTAAAGATGCCTGCAGCCTATAGCTATAGCATATAGCCTATAACTATAGCCTGTAGCCATCTGGACAGAATTGAGAGAGGTAGGGCTTGGGGTTGCCCAGACTTTGTGAGAGAAGAGCCATGAGGAGAGGGAGAAGAAAGTGGAGAAAGGAGGAAGCTGCCAAGAGATAGAAGAACCATGAAAACATAACCATGGGGGTACCAATTGGAGTTAAGAGCTGCCCGGATGTAACATGGTAAGTTACAAATTGGGTTTATAGATGGTGAAATAGATTCTAATAGCATAGAGGGTAGATCTATGTCCAGTTTTAGTGCTGATTAAGGCTTATTATAAATATAAAGGTTGTGTTTCTTTTATCTAGGAGCTGAATGGCCAAGGGCAGTGTAGAAGCCCTGGATTGAGATGAAATATTTCTACAGTAGCATGGTGGTTCAAAACCATATGCTACTCCAATTCTGGCAGATTCTATGCCCTCTTCTCGTCTCCCTGGGTACTATGCAACATGTGGTGCACCCAAATACATGCAGGCAAAGCACACTAAAAGTTAATGGATTAATTTTAAGAATTCAAACATTATTGAATATTCACAGTACCGTCTTGAGTACCACAGGCCTTTTCGGCTGTAACCACAGTCTTGGTTTGAGGTGTACAATTGGTTTCATGCTGGGGGGCACAAATGGAACCCAGTCTTTTCAATATGGTGGAAACTGGAATGCATTCACAACAAAAACAGGTTAGATGAATCACATAAAAGGAAGACTGACCACTGCTCTCTGCTTAAACATTTGATATCATTACTGATTTGCAAGTACAATTTTTTGATTCCCAAAGTCACTTCTGGAAAATCAAGGACATCAGTGAACACTTAAAGCCCAAGTGACATGGTCAGTGTAGATAAGATCTCAATCCATGTGGATGAGATGAGATGGACAGAAGAGCATTTGACTGAGTGTACAGGATGGTCAGCATCCAAATGATGCTAAGAGCCATGTGAACACAGGGAAATTTGGGCAATTCCTCACTTCTCTGTTCTTGAAACTACATCGCACTACAAATTCCTAAGGACTCGCATTAAGCCTAACGAGTCTGAAGGAATAAATGAATGTCAAGCCCTAAAGAAAATCACTAGCACCGAAAAAGAAGCTCTATGGTGTTTGCCAAAGACCAGAAAAATCAGCAAGAGGCCACAGTTAGATTCAAAGACAGTATATGTATGATGCCACAGTGATGTTTTACAGTTTGTGCACAACATATAATATCGTCAAAAGGAATGGGTGTTATTAAGGGACCACTTTGTCTACTTCCCACTTTGTCTGAGGGCACTGTAACAGTTACCTTAATAGTATGGACCAAGTTATCTGACAGAAAAAAAGAAAACAGAAACAAGGATAGATGTTTCACTTTTCCAACCCTGATTTTGAATGGCCTTCAAAAAAATGGCCATTTCCTTTTGAAGAAGTGATATGAGGAACCAGGTTAGTTCAAATGTGTAGCATTTGCTCACCACTGTGTTAGCCCTCTTTGTGACCTCTCAGTGTAAACTCCTACTGATTAGGCAAGCACACTAGGAGAAGACATCATAATGATTCTTGCTCCAAGTTAGCTTAACCCACTTGTCACATGATGGCTGAGCAAAAAAGATATTTCCCCCTTCAATCAACAAACCCTGGGTAAGTCCTCAATCTAAACTGAAAAACCAAGAATTCTGTTGATTTAATGGACTAGATCTGTTCCTATTACTTCGTAGCAATAGCCTTTATTACTGTCTATGTATCCTTGGCTAAATATACACCTAAGAGAAGGGAGTGGCTTTAGTATGCACTTTAGCTCAAAGTATGCGCCTAAGCTTGCTTACTCGTTGCTCAGAGTCCAGCTCTAGAAAATCTTCTACTCTATTCACGAGCAAGACACATAGTCCCAGTTCCTTAACCAAAGCCCTTTTTCCCTAATGCCTCAGTATATAGACACAGCTTGAGGAAAAGGGCATCTTCAAACTGATGACTCTCCAAAGCTCACTGCATGGACTCATTGACTGGAAGGACTCCCCATGTTCTTACTTTCTATCCAACATGGAGATTGACCATCATTGAATACAAGTACTTTTAAAGGCCAATCTAGATTCACTTGAAACATTTATGGTCCAAAAAATGGCTAAGACCAGATGACTAACTTCAAGTTTGACTGGAGTTATTAGTGGTCAAGCCCTGAACTGTAGATTTTGGACTAATGGAAACAGGTTCTATTATGCTGAAGTTCTCTCTAGAACCAATCATGGCACAGAGCCAGTGCATTCTGACAAAGAGTTTCCTACTGTTGAAGGGCTGTGACTTACGAGAAGTAGACTTTTGCTTTTTGTTGAGGTGATGGTGATTGCTGTTTTGGGGCAGGATCTGTATCACAACCTGGGCTATTTAGAAAATTCCTGAGACTGAAGATGACATTAAATTCCTGACCATCCTGAATCTCCTTTTGGAATGCTAAGATTACAAAGCTATGTGCTAACAACCTAGTTTCTGCAGTGTTGAGTATCAATCTCTAGGCCTCACAAATAATAGCCTAGTATTCCAATAGCTGAGCTAAAACAAAACAAAACACCCTGTATCAGTACACCTGAGATACCTGCTGTAACCTGAAGCATAAAAGATACCTTCAATTTTTGACTTACTGGAAGAGCCACAGTACTGTTTGGGTTCTCTGGAGGCAAGGCTTGCTCCAGGTATATGCTGGAAAGCTGAGATTTCTACATAATTTCTATACATACCTTTCTAGAATGAGAGGCAGAGGTTATAAACTGAAATGTGATCTGAATCCCATATGTCTGCTCTTGTACTCCCTGGCAATTCACCTTAGTCACTTATCTCCCTGTCCTGGTTGGCTCTTCTGTAGCATGGTTTGCTAGGAAATGAATCTACCATATGTGGCTGGGATGAGCTCTGGCCTAATTAATTTAGCAAATGAGTGAACTCTGATTTCTTTCATTGACAAAGCTGACACTGGAAATTGGTTTAGAAAGTTAAAAGAAACACACATAGTCACTTCATTATACACAAAATCCCAAGGCAGCTAAGGGGAAAGAGGTAACTCTAGACTCATGGCCATGATTTGTCACTTAGAATATCAGTTGTGATCTTAAACAATACTGTAAATCCTCCTTGCAAGCAGGTTGCTCTGAAAACACTGGGGAACTACACAAAGACAAAAAGTAACTGCACAGGTCTTATCTACAGCGTGTCCTAAGAAACCCATTCCATAATACATACGGCAACGCCATTTTCCTGACATGACCTGCAATTTAGAGAAAAACACTTTTAGGCCCAGATCATACTGAGTTATGTTTGCACAGGTCTTTGGTTCTCTTGTTTTATTGGAGAACTAATAAACAAAATATATGTGCTGTTCTGTTTGATACTGTCACAAAACACCTGAGTCTAGGTAATGTGTAAAGAAAACAAGTATTTTCTCACCTTTGCCTATCAAGCATGATCAGGCAAACCTATGTCTTTGTCCTCTACAAAAGGGATTTCTAAAAGCTATATTAAAACTTGGCAGAGAAGCATGTTGACAACCTGATCTTGTGAGATGAATTTCTTCAAAGGAGTTCCTCTTTCTCCTAATTATCTACTCTAACTTCATGCTTTAAAGAACTCACCACCTCAATGTCACTTAATGGATGTCAGAAACTTTTACCACATCAACATTTAGGAAACTCATTCCAAGTGTTGCTAACCTTAGAAGTCCCCAGAGGGAAGTCAAGAGGATAAATGGAGGGAAAAAAGAAACTTGTCATATACCATATGCCTGTCAGCTCTTCTACATGTTTTCATCTAAACAGGTAGGTGTTTGTCAGAAGAGCTTCCTGACACTCTCTGTGGAACCTGAAACACTATACAGTCTTCTCCCATGCCGTGTCATGCCATGGATGACTTGGCATAATTCTCTCTATTCCTAGGAATATCTGCTGTTTAAGTTGTCAGTGTTATTATTTGAATGTGGTATCTATAAATAAATAAAGGAATCATGGAACTAATTTTCCTACCTTAGGAAAGGAGGAGGCCCCTGGGCGATGTTGGGCACGCCTCCTCAGCACTTGGGAGGTAGAGGCAGGTGGATTTCTGAGTTAGAGGCCAGCCTGGTCTACACAGTGAGTTCCAGGATAGCTAGGACTACACAGAGAAACCCTGTCTCCAAACAACAACAACAAAAAAAAAAAAAGCAAAAAAGGAAAGGAGGAGTCCATCTTACCTTAACCAGGACCTGTCTGTCACCATCTTCTTGTGAGGCTTTCATTTGGTTCTGCTCATACATCTCTAGAAGACACAAAATGGCGCTGATCTCATGGTACTGTTGATGCATACTGAGTGTTCTTAGCTTGATATGGACAATGGTGTATGGCTTGAGTCCACATGTCTAGCTGCACACGTAATGTTATTGTGCAAAGTGTAATGATTACCCTTGTATCCTTCAAATGCCGATACCTCTGCCCTTATATCTGGTTGCAATCTGGACATGGCATTATAATGCTTGTTCTAAGAATCTCATTAATAAAAGGCGGATCATTGTCCAATAAAAGCTGATCATCGAGTGACTAAGCAGAGGAGAGAATAGAGCTGGACTTCTGATCACAGTGGGGAGG